GAAGTCATTTGCCTCACACAATTTTCTCGTGCGTTCTCCAGCATCATTTCTATCACCTGACCATATTTTCTAACTACTGGTCCTTCTTCTTTGTTTCCAACTTTCACCAGTAACTATCAAGGTATCTTGATTGCATGTTTGATCAATTTCAGACTGAAGCAGTTGGTTGTTGTTGCTTTTAAGTTCCATTGAGTCTGTTACAAGTCATAGGACCTCTGTATGGTGTTTCTGAGGAGCAGCTGGTAGGCTTGAACTGCCAACCTTATGGATCGCAGTCCAGTGCTTATCCTATAGCACCACACCAGGAGTTCGAAGAAGTTGGTAGAATTCTTCAGTTTGTTCATCACTGGCTTTAGTGGTTGATGCATAAATTTCAATAATAGTGGTGTTGACTGGTCTTCCTTGTAGGCGGATGTATATTATTTCTATCACAGACAGCACTGGACTGCGAGATAGATCTTGAAATACTCCTTTTGACAATGAATGTAACACCATTGCTCTTGAATTTGTCATTCAGCATAGTAAATCATGTTTGTGTAATTCAAAATGGCCAATACCAGTCCATTTCAGCTCACTTAATGCCTAGGATGGAGTTCTGGTGTGGTACTGTTGGATAAGCACTGGACTTCTAACCACAAGGTCAGTGGTTCAAACCCACCAGTCGCTCTTCAGAAACCCTACTCAGGGTCGCTATGAGTTGGAACTAACTCGATGGCACTAAACAACAGCCACAATGCCTAATATATTAATTTCTAAGCATTCCATTTCATTTTTGACAACTTCCAATTTTCCTAGATTCATGCTTCATACTTCTGATTATTTATGGATGTTCACAGCTGTCTTCTCCATTTGAGTTGTGCCTCATCAGCAAATGAAGGTGCTGAAAGCTTTTCTTCATCTGCATCACAAAGGTCAACGCTGCTGTAAGGAGGCTGTTCTTCCCCAGTCTTGTTCTGAATGCCTTCCCACCTGAGGAGCTCATCTTCTGGTACAATGTTCTCTTGCTATTCACAAGGTTGTGTCAGTGGCTAACCACTAAGAAGTGTGTCATTCAGCAAATACAGACAGCAATGGAAAATCAAGCATGAACTTGGAATGTAAGCAATGGTGTGCTGAACACCATTACAGATGAAGAGACACTGCTAATTTTCACTGACACGGAGTGACGTGCGTGCTCTGGATTAAATTGTTCTGTTCCTTTTCTGGGTGTCAGGGTTGGTAAAGCTGGTGCACCAGAGCTTTGCCTGCCCCCTGTTGGGCTCATGTGGCATTTAGTAAGAGGAGGAATGCCAGAGAAACGTGATGCAGTTATTTCTTGGTCATTGGTATGCAGGGGTAGGGCCCTATCTGCAAATTCTCCATTCAGGAGGAGTGAGTCAGAGGTGTCTTCACTGCACTATCCTTGGGACACAACTTGACTCATTCAAAAACACTGGCATTCCTTTTTGAAGAAGGGGAAGAGACTTACTTTCCTAATGGTGTGCATTTAATTCCTTTTAGCAGACATGCAGTGATCAAAAAAGAAGGCAACCACGAAACTCTTCAGCATTCTTTCCAAAATCTGAGGTTTAAGTTGTATTCTGTAAGTGCCCATAGATAGGGAACAGGTTAAGTACAACCAAACATTGGAATATGAAGCAGCTCTACAAGCAATGATATGGAATAATCTCCAAGATCCAGTAATAAGTGGAAACAACAAATACAGAGCAATGTATTTATTTGATTTTACGAGCAGACACTTTCTATAGAATGCTTACACAAGAAAATGGTATCAATTGTTGCCATCTGAGAAGGAAACAAGGTGCTGGGCACAGGAGTGGAAAGAAAACTTCTTTTTCACTATATCGTAATTTGTACCTTGTGTGTGATCTGTTAATCTAATTGAAGGAACAAAAAAGTAAGAACCTAGTAAAGTCCAGTAAGGGTCTCTGCTGTCATTCCTTTAAAAAAAGTTTTTTTTTTTTTAATTAAAAAGTCTTCTCAATCCTCAGTGGGAGAAACATCAATTGCTATAATACATTTTCTCTTAAATTTTAAACTGATAGACAGTTCTATCAGTTATATTATATATGTTGTTGTTATAAGCCGTGGAGTCGGTTCCAACTCATAGTGATCCTGTACAGGGTTTTTGAGGCTATAAATCTTTACGGGAGCAGAAAGCCTCATCTTTCTCCTGCGGAACAGCTGGTAGTTTCCAACTGCTGTCCCTGAGGTTTACAGCCTGATTCATAACCATTACGCTACAAAGCTCCTTATTTTGCCCACTGTTGTTGTTGTTGTTATGTGCCGTGGAGTCGGTTCCGACTCATAGCGACCCTGTACAGGGTTTCCAAGGCTGTAAATCTTTACAGGTGCAGAAAGCCCCATCTTTCTCCCGCGGAACAGCTGGTAGTTTTGAACTACTGACCTTGTGGCCCGCAGCCCGTACCAGAACTCCTTATTTTGCCAATAGTATCCTTCAATATTGCAACTTGACACTTGAATTTTTTCTTCAGTTATATATAATACATACATATATAGAGTCCTGTTGTGCACTGTAGGGTAAGCACTGGCCTGCAAGATGGGTTTGAACCTCAAAGTCGGTGGTTCAGACTCACTAACTGCTCCTTGGAAACCCTATGCAAGGTTGTTATGAGTCAGAACTGACTCAACAGCACTTAACAACATATACATATGATACATATTTTGTATAATGTATTCTGATTTTGTGAACCAGTTCATTCTATTTGAACCTCAAAAGAGAAAGCCATTTTAAAGGTAGACATTTGGTAACAAAAGGAGGGGAGTGGTTGATCTTGCAATGCAGGAGCTGAGGACCCTGGGACCATCAAGGGAGAAGAGCAAAGGGCGGGACCCTGTCCAGAGAAGCAGTGATGCCTGAGATGGGGATGGAGATGATGATGTGGAGAGATGTAGCGGCTGGGGACTGTAGACCCAGAGAAGGAGAGGGGCTGTGTGCTGACAGCAGGAGTGAGGGGCAAGCTTGCAGGGTGTACCCTTTGGTTGTTTGAATGGTTGTATATATTCCTAAGTGCTTCGGTGTACATCCAAAAAAAAAAAAAAAATAGAGGGAATGGAAGCAAATGCTGTTGAATGATGATGCATAGAGGGAATTGTGATCATTGCAGTGAAACGAAATACGATAGGATGAATGTAAAGCTGATGTTCTCCCACATAAACTATCACTCAATTCACAATGAAAACTGGCAAAAAGAAAAAAAAAGAGAGAAAGCCATGTGTTTCTAAGGAAATTGAATTAGCTGCTGGAATGTTAGGAGGATTTTTGTTCGTTAATTGTGAGGGCAAAACCATGAGTCATTTCACACAATAATTGTGAGGGCACTGTTAGCCCCTGAGCGCCTTTCTGGGTTGGTGGACAGAACGGTTTTCCCTCTTCCTGACAATGGAGCTACACTAGAGGGAACCTTTTGCCGAGACAGAGTCCATCACCCATCCAGCTGGGGAAACCCAAGTCTGATTTCCTAATCGGGGAAAAGGTTTGTAGCTTTTCTGAGGGGAAGGTGGCTGGGACAGCTCTAGGAACTCACAGCTCCAGTATCATATTAGCAAACGAAATAGGGGATGGGGACTATGTAGTCTTCTTTCTTGGGATTTTAACTCTCCAACTATGGGTGTTCCCTTAGCTAGGAGCTGCCTGCTCCTTTGTACCTAGCACAGCTGAAAATATACAAGTATTTGTGAGCTGATTCTTCCCCAGAGTGGCTGGTGGGTTTGAACTGCCAATCTTGTGTTTAGCAGTCCAGTGCTTATCTGGCAGCGCCTCCAGGGCTCCTTAATCCTCAGTTTTGTTGTTGTTGTTATTAAGTGCCATCCAGTTGATTCTGACCCACAGCGACCCTGTATAGGGTTTCTGAGGAGCGACTGGTGAGCTTGAACTGCCTACTTTGCAGTTCAAATCGACTTTGCAGTGCAGCGCGTGAACTCACAGCTCCACACCAGGACTCAAATCCACAGTCTAGGAGGCTTAAAATAGGATATGTGGAGTGGGCACCTTTCTCTCTCTCCCTTTCCCACTGAGAGGAACAGAGAGTTCTCCTGGGTGTGATTTCACTGTCTTCTCAGAGACTTCCTTTTCTGTCTGTTAAATGAGGTGGGATTCCTCCTGACAGCTTAGACCGGACTCATTGTGGTGGTGACTGACTACTAGGCTCCATTCTCTAAGGTGAGTGTTAGAGACGGTTCCAGGTATTGGTGGTTTTAGAGCAAGGTGAGAGGTGGGTGGGTATAAAACAGACTTTCTATTTTATTGCCCATATTAATCCCACTGGTTGGGATTGAGACGCGTGGTGCTGTTGGATAAACACTGGACCACAAGGCCGGTTTGAACTGTAAAGTCGGCGGTTCAAACCCATCAGCCACTCCTTGGAAACCCTATACAGGGTGGCTGTGAGTTGAAACAGACTCATCAGCACACTACCACCACCACCAAGAGGAATCCAGCAGTGTCGCAACCCCTTCTCACAACGGGACCCTAATTTAAATTCTCTCTTCCATCCTTTCTCCGAACAACTCAAGCTTTTGGAACATTGCTTGGTAACTTTTAGCAAGAAGTGGTCAGAGGACCCTTTGGAAAGCCTGTTGAAGTCATGGATCCTTCTCAAAAAATGAAGACAAATGCAATATTTTGCATGAGTTCAGGATCTCAAGGCTACCTGACTTCCAGCTGTAGAGTCTCAAAGGCAAGGTGGTGGTGTTGGCTGAGCTTGGAGGGGGGGAGCATAAAGGGCGAGAAATCAAAGTGAAGCAACACTCGGATCCGATTCCCTCCCCCGAGCTCACATTCCTCCGCCATGGTCCCACTCATGCCGCCTCCGCTTCCAGAGGAGGCCCTCTTCTCCCGCGCCAACTATTTCAACCATCCAGGGAAGGGTGGGGCGCTCGTTTCTCCAAACCCCTTCGGCTCCCCTTTCCTCGTCGGCTTTCCCTTGTGCCTCGGCCCCTCCCTTTCTGGGGTGGGGCCAGCCAATGGGTGACGATCCTCTGGGGTTTGGCTTGGGAGCTCACAGACCCCCCGCCCCACAGTTCTGGCTACTGTCCCGGTGCGCACGGACGTGGCTCGAGTTTCCTCTGAGCTCGGCTCTTGCTCGGTCTTCTTCCTCTCGCTGCTCCTCCTCTCAAGTCTCCCGCTCCACCCGGCCGGCCCAGCGCGGCTCTGGGTAGCCATGGAGGACACCCAGCTCCATATCATCGAGCAGCCCCTCCCCGGGTACTCCGATGCCGGGGACCCGGGACCCTCTCTCGTGGGGTCGCCGGCGACGGAGGAGCCGTCGGGGGCCGGGTCTGAGGAGCTGATCAAATCGGATCAGGTGAATGGCGTGCTGGTGCTAAGTCTTCTGGACAAAATCATCGGCGCGGTCGACCAGATCCAACTGACCCAGGCCCAGCTGGAGGAGCGGCAGGCGGAGATGGAGGGCGCCGTGCAGAGCATCCAGGGCGAGCTGAGCAAGTTGGGCAAGGCACACGCCACTACCAGCAACACCGTGAGCAAGTTGCTGGAAAAGGTGCGCAAGGTCAGCGTCAACGTGAAGACCGTGCGCGGCAGCCTGGAGCGCCAGGCCGGCCAGATCAAGAAGCTGGAGGTCAACGAGGCCGAGCTGCTGAGGCGCCGCAACTTTAAAGTCATGATCTACCAGGTGAGTTGCGGGGGCGGACCGCGTCCAGAGCTCCTGCGCCCACCTCGCTGTCTGCTGCCGGGAGCTTGGGGTGAGGGTACCGCCCTACCGCACAACCCTCCCAGCAGTCCCGGCGTTCTGGAGACCCACCTCCTTCCAACTACCGCGATTAGGGTTGGCTGGGGTGGTGGGGAGCAGCGAACTATTGTGGTGCGGTTCGTACCCCATGCCTCCCCACACTTCCTTCTGTGGCGAGACCAAGTTAGGGAGCTGGACTCCGGGACGCTGCCCCTCATAGACAGCTCCCAAAGTGATTGTCAAATGGCTTGCACCTAGAGGGAAGTTACAGGGGAAGCCAGGGGTCCCTGGCGGCCGCTGGGGCCCGTTGTAAGCGGACACTGGTCGTGCTGCCCGGGGCTGGCCCTCTGGTGTGGCCCGCCCGATATAGCGGATGATTCAAGGTTCAGGCACGCACTCGCGGGGACTGCGCCAGGCGAGGGACGGGGCCGCCAACATCCTCCCATTCGCAACCGACCCCTCATCAGCCTCCACTGCCCACCCCCGACTCTTGTCCTTAGGCTGCGGTCAGCCTCTAGCTTCCAGACATTTTCTGGACCTTGGGAACATACGAGCCGCTACGTACACGCACCCTTGGAGCAGACGGGGTGGAGGGTGAGGGGGCGGAGACGAAGACTCTGTAAAAGTGCAAAAGAGATGGTGGAAGGGGTGGCCAGCCCCCGCCCGGCCTGAGGTCGACGGAGCAGAGCCGCAGGGGATCCCTCGAACTGACTGCGAGGTGGGGAGGCGGGAGGCACACCGCACCCCGGGCTAGGCTCCACCGGCTGCGGGTTGCTTCCTTTGCACCTCTCCCTATTTCTCCCACCTGGATAACAATGTCGTTTTTGTAACGTAACCCGAGTAAACCTGGAATCTCAGGTTTGCTGTTGGCTCCATTCTCCTTCCTTAGTCCTGTTCAGGGTAGGGTGGGCCTGAGCTGAGGGCTGGGCCATTTTAGGTGGGGCAGGAATGTGCCCACCCTCTCCTCCTCCCTCTTCCCAGGGACCTGGTTCTTGCTCCTAGAGGGTAGGGATTGTGGTGGGGGGAGTAGCCAGTGCTCTCTCCTCCCCTTCTTCTCCCTACCTAAGGCAACGGAAAAAGCAGAAAGGCGAGGGGCCTATCTGAGGGCTATGGGGCCGCTCAGCGGTGATGTTTGTGACGAGGTTTCTCTGAGGAGCTGAGAGAGAGATGGGCGACCACGGGGCATTTTGGAACAAGTATTTTGGGAGAGTAGACACAGGGAAGTGGGTGAACTGACGCAGCAGAGGTAAAGGTGGCAAGCCCAGCCCCTAATCCCAGGAGACACTGGGCCTTTAGGAAGCTTTGTTTCCCCTGCACTTACAGCTCTATCAGGTAGACAGGGTTCCCTGAGTGTGAGCTGATTCCACTTCAGAATCTAGTTGCCTGGAGGAACAAGGTGAAGGGTGAACCCCTGCCTTGCACGTGTGTGTGTGTGTGTGTGTGTGTGTGTGTGTGTGTGTGTGTGTGTTTATCAAGGGAAGACAGGGGTAAGGACAGCAAGTCAGTTCTATCTTTTCTTCAGAGTCTGGTGTGCTACAAAGTGGACATAAAGGGTTTCGGTGGGTGACCATTCTCACTTTAAATGTCCCAAACGGAAGAGTCTGGGAAAGTTTTCAGTCTCTAGGTAAACCTCCCTGTGGCAAAGATGGAGTTTCTGAGGGATGGGCAGGGATGGAGGGAGCCCATGCACAGACCCCAGGGACTTCCTTCTGCAAGATGCATGTGTGTGTATGTGTGTGTGTGTATGGGAGGAGAGGGGGAAGGTTCGCATCACAGAGAGCTCTGACTTGAACCACATCTGTACTAAACCAGGGTCAGTGGGGGTGGGGGGTGGGACAGAGCTGCGGTAAAAAATGTGGCTCAAGTTGGAGGCTGAACCCTAAAACCACAAGGAAAGTAATGAAGAACTAAAATGATTCCAATCCTGGGAGGAGCTCAGAGGTCAGGAAAAGATTCCAGCAACAGGGGTAGATCTGGGGGATGCAGAACTCCCCTGAGCAGCTAAGCAGATGTTCCAGGTGGGGGGAGTGGGTGGGATCCTTAGTGGTTGGAATGGACCAAAGGCCACTCCTCCCTGAGTTGGACAAGCCTGGGAAGAGAATGAGATAAAAATAACACTGTGCCTTGGCAGGCCTAATAGGGAAGACTGGGGGCCGCAGCGTTTATGGTAAAGTTAGGCTGAGGGCCCAGGACAGTTGAGTGATTGGGCAGAGTCCAGGGGAGAGACAGATTAATTGGGGGAAAGGCCTGTGGGGTATAGGGTGAGTTCTGAGTGGGCACAGGGGAAGGGAGTCCAGATGCAGGATTCTGTGATGTGGCTGTGGGGGCAGGGCAAAGTGAGTGATGAAGAGGTGGGAAGGCCCCAGCTGAGGGATCAGGTCATCTGGCCTCCCACACCCTTTCCCAGGGAGAGAAAGGAGGGAATCCCTTTTGTGGCCCCATCCTGGATCCAGGGAACTCCTAGACAAATGACTGCCCTAGACTAAGTTTGCATTTGACCAACTCCGCACAAATACTCCCCAAATCAGCTCAGCCTTCCCACCCTAGGATGGCAGTCTTCACTCTGACTTACTCATGTTACTATCTTTTTCTGTCTCGCAGGCAAAAACTAGCAGTTTAGCATCCCACCCACCCTCCCCCAGGTGGCGTGGGCCAGGTGAGTGAATTAAGTGAATTCTAGTAACTAGAGGATAGCAGACTGAGGGCTGCCGTGGCAGGACAGTGGCTGCTCCCAAACGTCCACGCAAAGGAGAGGAGCTCTGACCATTAAAGAGCCAATTCTCCCAGGCATCAATTTGGATAATATCAAAGTTCCCCTAGACTCCAGAAAGGGGATCAATTATATTAGAAATAAATGTTTTCTGGAGCAGTTTACATGAGGCAGTTGTTGTTAAGTGTCACCGAGTCGATTCCAACCCATAGCAACCCTGTATAGGGTTTCCAAGCAGCTGGTGAGCTTGAACCACCAACCTTGCAGTTCAAACAACTTTGCAGTCTGATGCATTAGCCCACAGCTCCACACACACCAGGACTCCACGTGAGGCAGTTAGTGACCCATAAATGTACCCGCAGCAAAGAGCCATCAGAGCTACTCCATGTGCTTGGGGATAGGGCAAGGAAGCATTTAAGGGATTAGGTGGCTCGTTGGCATTAAAGGGGAGGACACCAGGGCTGAAATGAGGAACTGCTGGCCTCTTTTTCTCAAACCCTAACCCACCTGTAGGTTCTTCCTGGACTCAAGGCTGCCTTGCTCTGGAAGAGCCCCAATCTTTTTCCAAAAATATTTCTAACTTGGGGGTTTGGTCCCTCTCACCACTCTTCCTCCAAAAAGCTGACCTTTGAGTTTTTTGTTGTTTTTTTTTTCCTGGCCACTGGAGCCAAAGCAGGCAGGGTGTTTTTGTGGGTTCCCAGGACTAAAGGAGTTCTGGTGTGGTGCTGTAGGATAAGCACTGAACTGCTAGCCGAAAGGTTGGTGGTTCAAATCTACCAGTGGCTCCTTGGAAACCCTATACAGGGTTGCTATGAGTCAGAACCGACATGACATGAGTCAGACAGGACATGGCACTTTAACAAGAAAACTAATACCAGCCCTCAGAGTGTGTGTGTGAGGATTCTGACTAAAGATTACTCATGAAAGTGAGAAGACGGAGTGGACAACTGATAGCAAGAGAGGAATGTTGTGAGGCAAGCAGCCCCAGGTCTAGTGGTCGTTTGGGCCAGATTTGTTAACAAACCATCATTAATGTATCATCATTTTGTCACAGAATTTCTGAGCTGGAAGAGGCCTAGAGATAATCAACTGACTCCTTCATGTTGTAGCTAAGCACAGGTCAAGAGACTGGGAAGCTGCTTGCCTATTGTCATTCAAGTGCTTAGGGGTCAAAGCTGGGGCCTGAACCCAGGTCTCTTCCTTCTTCTGCCATGCTCTCTTCGTACCTCCTCCTTCCAGCAGCAGGAATCAGGGTTACTGGCTCCTTCATTCTCCTAGGGAGGGAGCTGCAAGGTCCTGGTAGGCTCTGCTGGGTGGGTCTGTGTGTGTGTAGTGTTGGCCAAGAGTGGTGGCCATTAGTTGTTCGGCCTCATGAGCGCTGAAGCAAAGGCAATGTCTGGTTACCTGGCCCAATGACAGTAGAGGGCAGGGGCTCAGGGTGTAAGGAGTGGCCCTACCTCTGGTTAGGAGAGGGCCACTTGGCTGTCTTTCCCTTTAGTTTCCCTGTGTGTCCCCAGGGCAGTTGGGGGCCTGCTGCTTTACTTTTCTGTGGTTGCAGACCTTATTCTGAGCCCCGCTGCTCTTCTCCCCTCACTTGAGTACACAACACAAGAGCACTGCTCAGTCCCTTCAGGAGGGAGATCTGGGAGCTGCTGCTGGGTGTCCTGGGAAGTAGGCCCACCTATTGTAAAAACAGCTTGGCGTTTGATCCTGATTTCCCTGTGTATTTGGGTGACTAGGGTAAGGGTGCAAGGGAGGCAGGAGGTGGGGATATATATGGCCAAAGGGAAATGGCCAGGATGTCCCACTTCCATGTCACTCCCTCTCCTTATCCGGGGCGGCACCCAGTGTCCACCCGGCCTTGGGGAGGAGAATTGGGATCAGCAGCTTCTCACTGGGAGGAAGAATCCATTAACTGGTTTTTTAGAAAACCCCTTCTCTACCCTAGTAGCCTCTTTCCCCACCACACAAACCCGAAATAACACCATCCCTCCACCGAAACTGGGGAGGGAGAGAGGGAGACACTCAGGAAGGGTCTGGGGAAGATTCTAGCAGGAGAAAGAAAGGAGGTTCAGTATAGATTATATTTATTAGTTAATGGGCCTGGGTTTGCCTCAAATCTTTCAGTTCCAGGGCCTTCTTGATCAAACGCTAAAATGTATTTTTTTTCTAGCCTGATACATGGAATGCCCATTTCCCTACTTGCTAGCCCCACCTCTGCATGCCCATCACAGCCTCTTTCTTTCAGACTGTCCTGTCCCCACCCATCCCAAGCCCCTCTTAACCCCCTTTTCCTCATCTTAGCCCAAGAAGAAGCTGAATGCACCCTCTGACCCAGCCACACCCAAGATCGTGCCTTTTGACCTTCTGCCTGAGACTGAGCCCTTTGACCTGAAGCCTGAGACAGTGCCTGAGCTCCCACCCTTTGACCAGACGCCTAGGACACTGCCCTTTTACCCAGAGCTGGGGCCTCTGTCCCCACCAGAGGAGCCAACATCTGGTGGGGGCGTGTAGGGTCTCTTGGGCCCATGGGCATGTGGTGTCACTCCAGCCCTATGAGTTCGATGCTTACTGGTGGTCAGTGCTGGACTGACATCCTCCTCTAGGTCACTGCCCCTGTGGGTGGGTGGCTGGTATTGTGCTCTTAAGAGTTAAGGTGAATGGGGTGTGTGCTGTAGCAGTGGGAGGCAGACCCTCTAAACACCACCCTCTAGTTGCATCCAAATGCTGCCTTGCATGAAGCTGCATGAAACTGCGTCACGCCTCGAGCCCCTTCCTTCCTCCCTTCCGCTGCCTTCTCAAGGACGGGCCAGTTTGGCTCCAAGTCTCTTTGGACAGGGCTCCAGGAGAGGCCTGGGGTCTGTTCTGTCCCTTCCTCATTCCCTTTTTGTAGCTGGGGAAAACATTTACACTTATTTTTTCCAGTTTTTTTAGAAAAGAGTTTGCAAAGAAATCCCTTGTTTGCCAGATTCTGCCTTGGGCGGAGCACGGAAAAACTGCCAACGCTGAGAGGCCAGAAGGGGATGCTCTGGCTGGCTCTAGCTGGCCTCCATATGGGGCATTTCTCTGCGTTTTCCTTTTTTCTCATTATCACCTCCTTCTTAAACATTTCTTTTCCTAACTGGCCCCCTTCCTTGTGAAATTTTAATACTACAACTATCCTATGTACTGTGCCACATACCATTAGAATATCTAAGAATTTTTTCTCTCCTGAATCAGTTTGCCCTCATGAGGGAAATATTGTCCCCGTTGAAACTGTGCTGTGACAGAAGGGAAGAGCCCTTTTGCCTGCCTTTGGGGTCTCTCACACCCTCATCTTGAAAATGAAAGTGGAAACCCTGAGGTTTTAAGACTGTCCTACCCATTTCTGCCCTCCCCCAGCCTGCAGCTTCTGATGAACTCAACAGATCTTGGGCTCTGAGTTACCCATTTTCCCAAAGTCCTCCATGGCTGTTCCTGGGTAGAAGCTGAGGACAGAGCAGGTTAGCTCTAAGTCAAGAGAGGCTCCTGTCCAGAGCCAGGTGGCCACTGTCCCTTCTCCCTTACAAATGTGAAGTGCCTGGTCAGAGGGCACATAAGTAGGTGCTCAAATACATGATAAATCTTATAACAATCTTCTTAAACCAGAGGGTCTTAAGTTTCCAGCAAGGCTGCTGGTGGTGGGAAGGATCTTATGAAGGGGCTGGGCGCTGTGTGTGCTGGGTGGGGCTGGGGGAGGCTGTGCATGCTTTTGTTCAGACCTGGTCATTAAAGGTAATTCTGGAAACCAAGCCTGTTGGGAGTGGTGGTTTTGTTTAATAAAAACAGAAAACAGAACAAGCAAGGCCCTCCCTCCTTGCTGCCCCCTCCCTGCTCTTCCTTTGGCTTAGGAGCTCTGCCAGGGAAGTGGGAGTGGGACAAGGGTGCCTGGCCTGTGTGCCCGGGTTGGGGGAGGTGTGTGCTTTCAGATTGTGTTGGTGGTTGTTATAGCAATAAGCAGACTGAGTCGGCCCAAAACAGCGCTCCAGGGCTATGAGTCATGAGGGAAACCTAGCCTGGAAAGGGGGAGAAAAGAGAAAATCAGTCACTGAGGGGAAAGCTAAGGTCAGTGGTATATTCTCCAGAGCCAGCTGACTGGACACTGACCAGAACTTGGTGCAGGTCAAATGCTCTTTCCCCTCCCCTGACCTCCCACCAAACAGCTCCTCAGGAGTAAGCCATCACCTGGGAGGAACCCACAGTGAAGACCCAGGCACCCCTGTGGACTGGGGAATCCCCACAACTCACGGGTTAAACCTCCCTCACTGGTTTCTAGTTTGATACTTTTATTCAGGCTCTAGGATGATGGGGTTGACTAGAGATCTCTCCAGAGCCCATTTCCCTCCCCAGCTCAGCTGGCAAAGACCTTTATCTAGGAAACCAGAGGCCAGGAAAACCAGCCAGCTCAGCCTTTAGGGCTCTGGTTGGGGTGGGTGGAGGGGTAGGGCAGAGAGACAATGTGGATTTGTTTTCCAGCAGCTGGAACTGTTTCCTGATTCTTCCCCACCCATCACCCTAATCCCTCTCCAGACCATCCACATTGTCTAAACTCCGGGGAAGGAGGGGTTGCAGCTCCAGCGTGGATTGTGGGTAGGTTTGAGTCCAGTGGCTGTGGAGAAGCAGAGCTGCAATCTTTTGATACCAGGGGTGCAGGTAAATGCTGGATGAAGATGGACAGTCTAGACCCTTAGAGTCTTCCATGATGTCTAAGGCCATGAATAGCAGCCAGGGAAAGGAGGACTGCAAATGGAAGCCCAGAGTACAACTGCATTCAGAAGGTATGCTAAGAGAGCTTGGGATCCTCTCCTCACAACCAGAAAAATGCCACAGTGTGTCTCTGTGACTGATAAGAGGCAGAGGAATTCACAGAATGTCTAGAATGCCTGTGACAGTACTAAACCAGCTATGACAGATAGAGACTACAAGTCCCAGCATGCCATGTGCCTAGGTCATCTTGCCTACTGGGAGGTGTAGTTGAGTAAGAAAGCCTGAGGTGGCCTGGTGCCCAGTCTGGTAGAAAGAGGTGGAGCCAGTATTCTCTCTTTGTCCCTGTTAATGCTGTAGAGAGGGAGGGAAGGAAATTGGGAGGGGGGTGTTCCTAGTTCTCAGTGTAAAACAGGAAACTCTAAGGGATGTGGATGGGAGGGAAGAGGAAGGAGGTTGGGGGCTAGGAAAGGAATTTCTGTAGCAGGTGGTATACAGATACTAGGGCTCCCATGTATGTGTGCGCACGTCCAGGAGAGGGGTCAGCTCATGTCACCTTATTTGCTCAGGAGATGGGCTTTTCTTATAATTCTGGGAAGAAATCTTCAGAAAATGTTGCTCCAAGTGAGACTCCTGGCTATTGGAAAGCCGTGCTGATGGGGCCTTGCGGAAAGAGGGCAGGGGGACCACAGGACTACAGAGAATCTGGGACCATCATTTAGGAAAAAGAAACAAGAATGGAAAAGTAATTTCTCCCCTCCATTCCACAGCAGGGATCTCAGAGTTAAAAGAAATGCCCAGATTGAGTTAAAAACATGTCCGTGGCTTCCAGCCAGCTTCCTCATTGCTCCCTTAATCACCACTTCTTGTTAAGTGCCATCAAGCCCGTTCCCACCCAGAGCAACCTTGTATAGGGTTTCCAAGGAGCCTACTTTGCGGGGTTCAAACGGACCTTACAGTCCAGCGCATTAACCCACAGGGAATCCCTCAATTACACTGGCAGAGCTAAATAGTAAGGGTGGTGGGTCTAAGAGTCCTCCTGCCCTATAGTTAGGTCTGAAATGGTACGGGTCTGGGCGACTCACTCCCTTTACCTTGTCTTCCAGCTACCCTTCTGGGAGAGGGGTAAGGGTGGCCCCTGACACTGGTTCATCCTGGCTTCACTCATCAACCTACAGATTCCCACCAACCCCTTTTCTTTTTGGCTTGGACTGTCTGATTTATGCCACCAGAGGGCGCTCTACCCATTTCCAAAGTCAAGCTGTAGTCCCGGGACCCACAAAGAATAGTTACAATGGGAGGATGTAGGACGTGCCATTACAGGACAAGCACTCGACTGCAATGTAGGTTTGAACGGCAAGGTCGGCGGTTCAAATCCAGCCTCTCCTCTGAAGCTGACTCAACGGCATTTAACAAGGATACAAGGCAGGGTTAGAGGGCCTCAGATATTTTTAGCCCAAGTGCAATTATAGTTCAGGTGAATCTAATGCTCACCAAAAAATTCGGTTCCTTGGCACAGTCTCTCCCTCCTGGCACCATCAGTACTTGTATAGTTAACATTCATCCAACGCATTACCGAGCCCCCACAACGTGCCCAGCTCTGTGCCAAGCTTCCTGCAAGTTCCGGTCGATGACATGGTACCACGAGGTACCGTCTCCTCTTAGTTCCACCCACTCCCCTGGATTTCAACTACTCAGACTTGGATTCGCCCAGCGTCTCCACCCTCAAGTTTCTTTCTCTCTCCCATATCTCATCTCTCTTCTCTTCTTAGGATGAAGTGAAGCTGCCGGCCAAGTTGAGCATCAGCAAATCGCTGAAGGAGTCGGAGGCGCTGCCCGAGAAGGAGGGCGACGAGCTGGCTGAGGGCGAGCGGCCTGAGGAGGATGCAGCGCTGGAGCTGTCGTCCGACGAGGCAGTGGAGGTGGAGGAGGTCATCGAGGAGTCGCGTGCCGAGCGCATTAAGCGCAGTGGTATGCGGCGCGTGGATGACTTCAAGAAAGCGTTTTCCAAGGAGAAGATGGAGAAGACCAGGGTGCGCACCCGAGAGAACTTGGAGAAGACGCGCCTCAAGACCAAGGAGAACCTGGAAAAGACGCGACACACGTTGGAGAAGCGCATGAACAAGCTGGGCACGCGCCTCGTCCCCGCAGAGCGGCGCGAGAAGATGAAAACCTCGCGAGAGAAGCTGCGTAAGTCCTTTACGCCTGACCACGTGGTCTACGCTCGCTCCAAGACCGCTGTGTACAAGGTGCCGCCCTTCACTTTCCACGTCAAGAAGATCCGCGAGGGTGAGGTGGAGGTGCTCAAGGCCACCGAGATGGTGGAGGTGGGTGCCGACGACGACGAGGGCATCGCGGAGCGCAACGAGGCCGCAGACCTGCTGCGCGGGAGCAGCCCTGACGTTCACACGCTGCTGGAGATCACCGAGGAGTCCGACGCCGTGCTGGTGGACAAGAGCGACAGCGACTGAGCCGGGCGCTGGCCTCTGCCCAGGGAGGCTGTGCCGACCCGCCCGGCCTCTCTCTCCTCTCCTGCCCCTTTCCAAACTTTCTCTTTCGCATTCTCTCACAGCCCCAAACTGGCTGAGATTCTTCTAAGTGGAAAACAACCTCCTTTCAAGAAGCACCTATCCACGTCTTATAGCCGTCCAAAAAAACGGGGGAAGGGGAGGCAGTTCTCACAACACACAGCCCTAATTTGGACATCGGGGTGGAAATAAGAGTCCTGGCATGGCGCTGTAGGATAAGCACTGGACTGCTAACCTCAATGTCGGTGATTCAAACTCACCAGTTGTTCCTTGGAAATCCTGTACAGGGTTACTATGAGTCAACCAACTCAGCGCCACTTAACAGCAACAGGGATGGAAATGGGATGAGAGTGATCCATTTCCTGGTTTTCTGAGCTGGTGATACTAGAGGAAATTGCTGTCATTTTCACTTTACTCCTCTATGGGCTGCCTTTTCCTTTACTCCTCACCGCCATCCTCCCCAGCCCATCCCCAGTCCCATCTGCTGTCATTCCTACTTACCCAGCTCTTAGTCATTCTGGCCTCTGGAGGCTTCAAAGTCAAAATTATCCTAAAAGAGTGAGCCCTAAAGGGACGTTGTTCACATATGAAAACAGCTTTAGGGGGGTGGCCCTGGGGCAGTGGGGGAAAAGACGAAAAAATACTCCATAATGTAGGGTAAGGGTCTCCGCCCACACATTGTCTGCAAAGGACTCCAGTAAGGAAGGCTGGAGCCCATGGGAAGGATGGGGCAGGGTGAGGGATGCACACAGGAGAACATCTATGATTTTGGGAAGGAGAATGGACAAAATAGTAGGAGAAGATGGAAGTAGGTGGAGAGGACAATTCCCCTCATTGATAACACCAGGATGAGGGTACTACCTACCTGCAGTTCTTTGAGGACGGTAGGACTATTTTCAGGATCAAGAGGGAAGACAAGAAAGCAATGATCCACAAAGCCGAGAGAGGGGAAGCCACCTGGGATGTGAACGGTGTTTGAAGAGGCAGCCCTTTACTCAAAACCCAGAGATATTTGTGCTCCAGAAAGGGGCAACAGTAGGTTGTGGAGAGCTGGAAGTTAGGAGGGAGGTTGTCGGGGAAAGAGCAAGATTCCAAAGGCCAGGCCCTGGAGCTGGAGGGCAGGTGGGAAGAGTGATATCCTTGTGTATCAAACAGCCCCAGCTCTGGCTCACTCCCGGCAGTTTCTTTTTGAGATCCTTCCCTGGAGCTAAAGAGCCCTGGTGGCGCAGTAGGTTAGGCACTGGCCTACTAATTACAAGGCAGTTGAAACCCACCAGTTGCTCCATAGGAGAAAGATGAGGCTTTTTGCTCCTGTAAAGATATACAGGCTCAGAAGCCACATCCAGGGATGCTATGAGTCGGAACTGATTCCAAAGCTGTGCATTTTCCCATAGGAATGCTACAGAACTTGCCCAAAACCTCATTGGTTTTTAACCCTGCATGTGCCTTTCCTGCATCTTTGGGGGTGAAAAGGATGCTGTGTTCAGTGTGAGGGCCTGGTTTCTTATACCCACTGGCCAGGTTCTCCTTAGGACACCTCAGTCCCCATTAAAGACGGCTTGTCAGAAACAAAGACGACCCCCCTTCCCCCCCCCCCCAGGCAAAGCCCAAAGAGAAGGGCTGATGGCCCTCTTCTTCCCCTCTCAACACCACCTTATTATTTCCTAGCTCTGTTTTTTAGAATCACAGCTAATTGTTTTAAGGGGTGGGGGGAGGGAGACTGGGGACACAAACCTTTTATACAATACAAAATCTTGCTTGCTTGCTTGTTTTTTGTTGTTGTTTTTTTTTCTCCTTCTCTTGGTTCCCTTCTCTCCTCTGAATGGTTGGAGACATGTCAGCTGAGGGAGGAGGGTGATTGTGGGACAAGGTCCCTTGGTGCTGATGAGCTAAAGGGGGCCCCGAACAGGCAGATATAGTTTCCTGTGGGCTTTGAGGAGCCTCTCACCATTGTTATTGTGTCCTGGTGAGCAGCCTGACCAATAAACCTGCTTTTCTAAAAGGATCTGTGTTGGATTGTATTCTCCAGAGGCAGTGACTGAGGGGGGGGAGGGGGGAATAGAATGAAAGGGAGCCAGGGAGGGACAGAGAAAGAGAAAGAGGACTGCCAATAGAAACTGGTCTCACTTGCCTGCAGGGGGAAGGATAACAATAATAGCCATTTTTTTTAGCTCTAACTATCTGCCAGGGACTCCTATAGGATGAACACTGGACTGTGAACCACAAGGTCAGCAGTTCAAACCCACCAGCAGCTCTTTGGAAACCCTATGCAGGTTAAGTGACTCGACAGCATTTAACTACATCTGGTAGTGTGGTGGTTACGAGTCAGGCTGCTAACCTCAAGGTCAGCAGTTTGAAACTACCAGCCACTCCATGGTAGAAAGATAAGGCTTGCTGCTCCCGTAAAGATGTACAACCTCAGAAACCCTATACAGGGTCGCTATGAGTCAGAACCAACTCCATAGCACACAACCACCACCACAGCCATGGAGCTCTGTTGGTGTATAGTGGGTTAAACATTGGGCTGCTAACCCAAAAGTTAGTGGTTCAAACCCAGCAGACACTCTGTAGGAGAAAGAAGAAGCAGTATGGTCCCATAAAGCTTGAATCTCAGAAATCCTAAAGAGGAGCTAAAGGGGCCAAGCTGGCAGATGCAATTCTGTCTTATAGGGCTGCTGAGTCTAAATTGACTCAGTGACAGTGGGTTTTGTTTGTTTTCATTACTATCTTCCTGAGTGACAAAAAAGGTTTGAACTGTAAGATCGGCAGTTCAAGCTCCCCCGCTGCTCCTTAGAAATCCTATACAGGGGCGCTATGGGTCGGAATTGACTTGACTGCACTTAACAACAATAAATTAGCCTAAAGGTTAACAGTTTGAACCATAGTTAAGAGAATCCTAAGCAGCAGCTCTGCTCTGTACTAAATGGGGTCACCATGAGTCAGGGTCAGCTTGACAGCAACAGGTCGGGTTACTTTTTTGTTCACTGTCTGCCCGGAACTGTCCTGAGCACTTCTATACATCAACTCACTTAATCTCACCATACCTCATTCTAGGGGTAAAGAAACTTATCTCAGGTCACGTAACTGGTAAGTGACTATGCTAGGACATAAAGGCAGGCAGCCTGCTTCTTGTCTTAAGTGCTCCTCTGTCCTGTACTGCACGGCTCCACTTCCCAGCTGACAGGACATCTGCCTCCAAACACATTCAGTTACCTTCGTCAGCCTGGGCTTCCCTCAAACACACCTTTCAGAATCATTAGTCTGAAGGAGCGCTCTAGAGGAAGGAATAGTCAGAGCCCCTGATGCAGAGAGTTGAGTGTCATAAGGAAAAGGAGCTGGTTCATGTTATATGCCAGTCACACAAACACAGCATACTTCATTCTCCCCACAGCCCTGTGATGGGCACCAATTTCACTCTCTGTGCAGCCTTTCTTCCCCCTTAGCTGCCTGCCCCACTTCTGGGTGGGGCTGGGTTTCGAGCATCAGAATCTGCCTGCATCCGAACCACTTGAGGAAAAAGGAACCCTGACAAGAATAAAACCATTTGTGGGGCTCCATGCCAGCCTCCTGCCATGGCCTCGGACAGGACTAGCCCATCCTAGTGAGCCACAATTGCCCCTTCCACTCTTCTGCATGCCAGTAGCAAGCACAAGAAAGTCCAGATCTCTGAACCACCCAGAAAGGATTGACTTCCCATTAAGAGAAATGGAAAATGATACTGAAAATACAGAGGCTGGGAGCCAGGAAACTTCCCTCCGGCCCGGAGAGCTATGCCAAGTATTATTCTTCCTCTGGAAAGCAGATGGACAGTTGCTAGAAGCAGGGTATGACTCCAGGACCCCAGCTACGGAGTAACAAGTCAGGAAGGTCCCTCTAACCCACAGGAATAGGGCTCCTGGTCTCCCCCTCCTCTTTCACAAGCTGCCTTTTCTCTACTCTCCCTACTTTCAATATGGCCAAGTTGCTTCCCTGTGCCTTCTCTATCCATCTCTGTTCTGCCCACAGCTTTGTTAGAGTGCTCCTAATTCCCTGAACATCCACATTTCGGCTGGCCCCTACACCATGGTGTCCCTTCTTCTTTACATGAGTGCTGGGTCCCCACTCTAACAATTCCTTCAGAAAGACTCTCCCCTTCTCCTGTGTCTGATGGGAGAAAGACTGGCCAAAGGCATCAGTGCAATAGTCAAGGGCCCAAACTCACAAAGCATCTTTTTCACTAACCAGAAATAAGCTTACCTCCCCACCATCATCATTAGAATCAGATAATAGACAAGGGGTATTGTCTCCTAAGGGATCCTTGGAACTGTTACCTAGGATCTAAAGAAGCTCTTCTGCAACTTCAGATAGAGCTATTAGGTCTCTAAAGAACACTTCCAGAGTCCTTATCCCTAAAAGGTCATTTTCCGAAAAGCCAGAAGAAGACAGCTGAAGCCAGTCCTGGTCTAGACCATCAGCTACTCTTTTTTTTTAAGCTTTTGCTGTGGATTGAGTGATAGTTTACATGGCAGAACATTGATTTTGTACTCAACCAATCATATTTTCACTTGCATTTTCTTTCATTGCAATGATTACAATTCCATCCATGTACCATTGGTTAATAGTGTTTGTCTCTATTCCCTTTTGTTTTTTAAATGTACACAAAAACATGCAGGAATATATAATTGTTTAAGCAACCAAAGGGCACCATTTTGCAAGTCAGCCTCCTGCCCGCCAGCACACAATCTTTCTCTTTCCATGAGTCTAGAGTCCTCAGGTGCTCTATCTCTTCGGCCATCACCTCTGCCTCCATCTCTGGTGTCCCTGCTTCTCTGGTTAGAATCCCACTTTTCGCTCGTTCTCTTATCTCTTGATGGTCCTAGGATCCTCTGTTCCTGGAATGTAAGATTAGCTACTCCCCTCCTGTTTGTTATACAACTTTTTCATCTACCCTTGCCTGGAGTATTTGAG